TGGGAAAAAGCAAACAAGCTCCGAGAAAAAGGCTTTCCCGTTCAAGCGTCGATTTTCCCTCGTAATATGGAAAAAAATACCTGCCGCAACTTGTATTAACTTTACATCGCAGTAATAACCAAGCTGTCGGTATTTGCAATAAATTGTCAAAATGAGGGAAAACATGACACAGCAGGACGAAAGTCTGTCAATCAAAATAAGTGACTTTACAAAAGTCTACTGAATAATTCTATATCCACTAGCTGTCACGTTGCTCTTTCCTGAAAGAACTCATTTAGCAGGAGGGCAATCTCTTGTCCGTGCCCCTATATTCCTTTTTTTCATTTGTTCGTAGTCAAGCAATCTAATATATCATTAACTGTTAACATTTGGACGACACCTTTCATGAACTGCACCCTTATGTAATTGGAGAAGTGCTAAAACACTTAGTAATTTTAGTTCGGAAGGTAAAACAATGGATGCCTGCTCCTCCCACACAACCAATGTTGACTTGCTTGTCGTTTTGTAAATGTCACTTGAGCAGCGCAAATCGTTAATTAGGGAATGATTGAGGATGAGGATGGAACGGCTTGATTTGGACTGTTGCCTTTTCCTCTGTGAATTGCCGATAATGACGGTAAAAAGTAAGAAATCTCGCCAAGGGAATTGATCATGAGTGGCTCAACTAATTCGGGCACTGATTGTAGATCATATAATACCATGCTGGTCCATACCAAACAAACTTAGAGACGAACGAAAACACCTACTGAGGCCTTAGTTTCCTCCGTTTCATGCTTTAATATATTCATTGAGTTTATAATTGCATAAATAGCTATAAATTACATCAATATAAGCTCACTAAGGCTGGAAAAATAGCTGCCGAAAACTGGCCAAAACCCGTCCGCCACTACTTAGTTCGCAAACTGAAGCCCGTGATAATTCTGCAATGCAGTTTGTTGTATGAGACTCTCTGTGACGTCATACGCGCATCGATAGAGCTTTCTCAGGAAGAATTCACCAACTTTTGGTCCTAATGCAAGTAAATCGGCAAGCATATCCGTAAAATCTGCCATTCTCAATGCCACTTATCACTGAGCTGTTCCTGCCTCGTACCCAGACGTCATCTCTCTCTCTAAGGAGAAAACACGCTTCCCATGGTCCCTTGCGCTTCGTCATCAGTCACTCGTGTTTCGCGCTTACCTCTATGCGAAACCATGTGAAAAACGGAGCGCCTGAGGAGAAGGCTGGATGTGCTCTAATCGTTCCAGCCTTTGACGGCCTAAATCTTCAGAAATTTTGTGGACCTTCTCGGGAGACTAATGGCTCCTCAAAATGGTGGCCTTTGGATACCATCGATTAATTCGAACAACGCTAGTTCTCTAAAGTGTGCGGCAGGTGTTTGAAAAGAAAACAAAGAAAGAGGAAGGGGATACTAAGTTTAGACCCCTTTTATTCGGAGACGAGTTGTCCCTGGTAGAAGGGTCACTCTCCGGCCTAACCGAGTTACCCTGGGCGAGCCAACCTTTCCCACATTTCCTTAAAAAACTTGGAGAGCCGTTTACAGGAAAAATACAATAGGGCCATTTATACGAGGAAAAATAAGACGCGTCTTACATAAGACGCGTCTTAAATAAGACGCGAACTTTCCGTATAAACGGCACATTTCGTCTAAAATAAGACGCGGCTTAGCTAAGACGCGTCAGACGCGTCTTATTAGATAAGACATGCTCATATAAATGGTACAGTTCGCGTCTTATTTAAGACGCGTCTTATTTTTCCTCGTATAAATGGCCCTAATGTTTGCTCGGCTAGAAGGGTGACCAAGTTCGGTGGGTCACCCTCCTAGCCGGGCCAACTAAACACTTTGGCTCGTCCCATCGGGCTAACTCGGTCAAGGGGCGCGACAATAATGATGAGCAAGCGCTATTGGTTAGGGCAAAGGGGTCAACTCATAAACACTCGTTAAAGCTCGGCTCGAAGGGTGGCCCTCATTCCCGGGACAACTTTTCTCCATAACAACGGGGCCTCAGACATGCGATAACGTGACGGGCCGCAACAGACGACAAACGGCTGCTAAGCGGCATGCTGAAACAGTCCGACTAATAATACTACAAAATGCAGCGTCCGGCCTGTTTCTCCAAGGTTGTCTAACAAAAACAATAACAAACTTTTATTAATAAGCGGATAATATATCAGAAGCCGGCACTGCCTGCAGCTAGCAAGGTTGCTAGCAAGGTTGCTCCAAACCTTGCCTGTTAGTGTCATTTTGCAGGACTAATAGGCTGTTCTATGAAAACTGACTCGCGTTTTTCTAAAATCTAGGACAAATGATAGTTACCGTAAAATTCCGAAAATAAGCCCCTTCATGTATAAGCCCCTCCAAATATAAGCCCCCCAAACCGGTAACGCAAAAAACCCTCCGTTAAATCGCCCCTCCAAATATAAGCCCCCCGGGGCTTGTACTTGGAAAATTGACCTCAAATACAAAGTAAAACAAAGCCAAAACGGTAAATTTACTTCCAACTATAAGGCTAGCCCAATCGATTTTGACACGCAAATTTCCCTCCGTAGATAAGCCCCTCGGAATATAAGCCCCTCCAAAAATAAGCCCCTCAAGAAGGGTCTTTGAAAAATATAAAAGTTTCGGAATTTTACGGTAGTATTTCCAATATTAGGTTTTAGGGTGCTTTCGTTGTTCCTTTCTCTCTGTGTGTGCGTTTATTTAATTGTGCGCGGTGCATCTCAGTAACCGTCCTTATTATGTAGTAGTCCGTTTCACAGTATGGCTGCCTCATCTTTCTAGCACGGTATTATTGTTACTATGTTTCGGGAAACCTATGGTCTTTATTTTTTTTCGCACTTGGCATTTTACTGTAAGAAAATTTGATGAAAAAAGGTTGTTGTCTATGTTTTTACAATAACATTTCGACACCAACATTACCCAACTCATGCGCACACATGCCGGAGAGCCTCTTTGAAGGTCAGATAATTTGAAAAGACTGGGCCTTTATGCCAGTGTCCAGCCTGATTAAAATACTCTTTGCGATGCAGTAGTCAAGGGATTACGTCTCTGCACAAGATTCAGGTATTCGTTTTGTTTTGAAGGTCAAAAATATCAGAAAAGAATCAACTAACGCACGTGTTTATAATGGATATTAAGTGCTCCTCCAATTTTAGGAAATTGAACAGGAAACTTCGGAGAGACAATCATTTTCTAAGTTCCGAGCTGTCGCATTTGAAAGCTATTACAAAATCATTTAATTTGGCATTAATATGGAAACATTATCTTCAACTCGAACTTGTATTTATATTCTAGGAAACATAAACACAAAAACTGTTGTCCCGTTGCTCAAAATAATTTTTTTCACCACGTTTTGCTGCCCATCCGGAAGATGATGTATTTTTAGTCTTTATTATAAAAGCTAATGCATGACCCCTTTGTGCTGCAGATTTATTGTTTTCGACGCTATTTTCCATTTAAGCATGTAATTTTTTGGTGTCAGTAGAGTAGAAAAAGCTAAAATAACATCACATGGGTCATTGGTAGACAAAAAACAGAATTAAACCTAAAGAATGGTCATGATTTAATACACTACTTTAAAATCTTTTTTCTTTCACTACCTAAGTATAGCTGCCGTAATTGGAAATAGCCAAAGGTTATTTATGCCAATTTTACTGTCGATAAAAAATACCATAAAATTCACGACATAAAAGACTGATAGACGGTTTTCTCTAAAAACGAGTTTTGTCTTTCACCTTTAGCTCTTTCGAAATAAGAAATAGGTGCTCTGAACACCTTAGAATATTTCCAAACTACATTTTTTTTTCGGCATCTCAAGGAGACTAGCCTAATTTTTCTGACAACCATAGTAATTGCGTCATTGAATATCCGGTCGTTTCTGTTTGAGAGGATTTTTCTTTTAGCTGATGGAAGCTGTGATTGGGCAAATGGGCGAGCGACCTGAAAAATTCTGTCCGTGCGCACGTTGGTAAATAAACATGACGGAAAATACGAGGACATTCTGTCTTCCAAAACAAACAAGCCTTGTAGGCTCCTTGATCTAATCACGTCACCTTTGTCTATATTAAGTACATACTTTCGTTTTAGCATATTAAACAGCTTTGGGCAGTATGTGCGGTGTGATTTGAACCGGGTACCATGTTTGTCGCCTGACTTTTAACTAACAATCAAAGATTATCCGTTTGCTACAACTCTCAAGGTATTTATACAATTTGAGGCTTTCATCTTGGGCTAAAAATTGATAATATTAATGTCCTTTCAAAGCAAAACAGTCGTTGATATTTTGCTTCTGAAAGGTTTGAACATAAACAATTTTTGTCATGGCGTGCAGGTTCTTAGCAAAGGAGAGCCGGTTTCAAATTTATCTACAAGATCAAAGTAAAATGTTGTCCTTTTCGCTTTTATCGCGAGTGTATCATTTTACTTCTTTCTCCAATCATCAGGCTTGGCGAAAGAAAAAACACTAAGGACACAACGACATTCAGCTACCTTGACAGTTAACTGATAGAGTGATGTGTTTCAGTAAACAATACAAACCGCGGAGAGTCAGTCGTACTCTAAAAGTCGGTACTGGACTTAATCGGAGCTTGCAACACCCGTAAATATTAATTACAATACTGAGTTTAAAGCTAATTCTATCCTATTTTAACCCTTAGTTATCAAATGCGGATCGTTAAGTGCTATTTTTTAAATGTTAAAGGTGCAAACATCGCGTCGTCAGAGCTATAAATAATTCAGTTTGCTCTGCAAGAGAAATATCAGAATGACAGAAAATTTCGAAAATTTTGGCAGGGTGTACATTGTTTCAACAATTCTATATAATTAAAAGCTGGCGCGGCTCTAGCGCGCAGCTAGAGGAAAAAAATCGACTAACTCCTTTATGACTTATTTTTATTGACAGATCCAGCTCACTGCAAGTTTGCACTGCTAGCTGTTTTGAGAAGTTTGTTTACGCTCATAGTTCGCTAAAAGGTAATACTGCCCGTTGCTAAATCTTTGAATGAAACCTCCAGGATTTGCTTGTCTGATTTTCTCGTACACGGAGGTGTGGTTCTACTGCGTAGCTTCATTGACTGGTCTATCCACAGCTATGTGCGTACCCGCCTTATTTCTGGTAGTAATCGTGGTGGTGAGCATATTGTGCGCCCGTTATTTCCACAACAGACAGGAAATGAAGCCTTGTTTGTACTTCAAAAAGTCTAGAATCAGTATGGTCATTAAAAAAGGATGCAAGGGATTGAATCAAGATTACAAACCCACATATTGGGCGACCAACCGACATCTTCAGACGATTCTGCCTTGGATCTGGTGGCAGGACGAGTTAGAATTTAAGCGCGAATATTTGCAAATGGAGGATAAAGGAGTCATTGCTTTGGACTGGTTAGAGGTTGATGACGACAAATCTATAAAAAAAGTTAGTCCTATAATGCTGCTGATTCCTGACTTAACAGGTGCAGCCGCAGATTTAGCAGCTGCGTGCACCGAGGCTTTGGCGCGAAAATTTCGCCCAGTGGTGTTCAATCGCCGTGGGCATGGTGGAACCTTGCTTTCAACTTATCGATTTCAAAGCTTTGGAGACGCAAGTGACTTGGAAGAAGCTATTCAATTCATCACTCATATGTATCCATATGCAGAGATCTTTGCAATCAGTTTTTCTACCGGGTCTGGACTGTTATTATCATATCTGGGTGAAGCAGGTGCGACCAGCAAACTCAATGCGGCGGTTTGCATTTCGCCATGTTTCGATGCCGAAGCGCTTTTCAAGTCTAATAGTTTACCAGAGCCGTACAACTGGCTTTGGACGTTTAAACTGAAATCAGTTTTGCGCCAGCACCCTTGCTTAGGCAACGTGATAAATTATAACCTTGCTCTACAAAGCACTAGCATTAAAGAGCTGGATGAGAGAGTTTATGTTAAGCTTAACCAGTATAACTCGTTGGAAGAGTATTGGAGGTACAACGACCCTATGAGGAACATAACAAACATATCAGTGCCAGTGCTATGTGTAAGTGCACTCGATGACCCTATTTGTCCAAAAGAAACTATACCGTTCAGTCTTTTCAAAACTTCAAACAATTTATTTCTAGTTACAACAGACAAGGGAGGTCACTGTGGATTTTTAGAGGATTTTTTCCCTTCTTCTTGGGCGAATAAGCTCGGATGTGAATATTTAGAGACCGTGTTTAATCAAGGAGTACCCAAACAACCCGAGGAAAATCACGTGCATTTTTTCCCAGAATTCAACGGTACGAGAAATCGAAGTTATACAACATAACAAGTCAGTTCTTGAGCCTGTGATTTTGAACTATGCTTAACCGCAAGCTCGAATTCACTGACATTTAGCTTTACCGGTACATGATGATACATGTAATTATATTACAAGATTATATTTGTAATATATAGATTTAGCCAGGGCTAAAAGCGAAGCTCCCATTAATAAATTTATATTTTAAATCAAACAATAAACTTGTAATCTACAAATCAGTTAGCTTAAGGGCACATTCATGTGACTTTTGAGGGAAAG